AGACTGCAATCAAGCTAAAAGAGATGGTCATAGCTTGAGGATATCCTACAGGAGATTGTCAAAGACTTTAGACATGCTACAGGTGATGGTCAGAGACTGCAATCAAGCTACAAGAGATGGTCATAGCTTGAGTACATTCTACAGGAGATTGTCAGAGACTTTAGACATGCTACAGGTGATGGTCGGAGACTGCAATCAAGCTAAAAGAGATGGTCATAGCTTGAGGATATCCTACAGGAGATTGTCAGAGACTTTAGACATGCTACAGGCGATGGTCAGAGACTGCAATCAAGCTACAAGAGATGGTCATAGCTTGAGAATATTCTACAGGAGATTTTCAGAGACTTAAGACATGCTACAGGTGATGGTCCGAGACTGCAATCAAGCTACAAGAGATGGTCATAGCTTGAAAACATTCTACAGGAGATTGTCAGAGACTTTAGACATGCTACAGGTGATGGTCAGAAACCACAATCAAGCTAAAAGAGATGGTTATAGCTTGAGGATATCCTACAGGAGATTTTTAGAGACTTTAGACATGCTACAGATGATGGTCAGAGACTGCAATCAAGCTACAAGAGATGGTCATAGCCTGAGGACGTCCTACAAGAAATAGTCAGAGACTACTAACAAGCTAAAAGAGATGGTCATAGCTTGAGGACATCCTACAGGAGATTGTCAGAGACTTTAGACATGCTACAGATGATGGTCAGAGACTGCAATCAAGCTACAAGAGATGGTCATAGCTTGAGGAAATCCTACAGGAGATTGTCAGAGACTTTAGACATGATACAGGCGATGGTCAGAAACCGCAATCAAGCTACAAGAGATGGTTATAGTTTGAGGATATCCTACAGGAGATTTTTAGAGACTTTAGACATGCTACAGATGATGGTCAGAGACTGCAATCAAGCTACAAGAGATGGTCATAGCCTGAGGACGTCCTACAAGAAATAGTCAGAGACTGCTAACAAGCTAAAAGAGATGGTCATAGACTGAGGACATCCTACAGTAGATGGACAGAGACTGTAGAAAAGCTAGAAGAGATGGTCAAAGCCTGCAGACATTCATCAGGGATGGTGAAAGACTGTAGACATCCTACAGGAGATTGTCAGAGACTGCAATCTCCCAGCTTCTCTTCCCTAGTTAGTGTAAAGGCAGACAGGTGCACCAGGACAGTCACTCTTATGACTCAATAGCCAGTCTAGGGGTATCTTTTCATGCTTTATTGTAAGTTGAACATAGTTAGGGTGCAGGGAGCTCTGGGATACTCCAGGAAACGCAGTGTAATAGTCAGAGGACACTCTTCGCTCTGTCCAAACACCTTAGTACAGTCCCTCTAGAAGTCAGTAAGGGATTGAATAGCACTGAGACACTATAAAGAATGTCCTAATCCAAGCAAGCTCTAGGTTCCTACACTCAGGTCCGTACTCTCAAGGTCCCTGGATACTTGGATGCCTCCTTCTAATATCAGACAGACTTTCCTCCTGTATACTCCCAGACCAGATCCTAAGTGAAATCCCTTGATGGGGAGGGTTGAAAAACTAGTGCAGATTTGCTTTTCCTTATATCCCTTGATTAGCTGCTGCTATTCTCAAAACAGAAGGCCTCCAGCTCTAGCTGAGTTGGGAGCTCGATGAGCTCCTCTGAAACTTCAGCTGTACTGCCCTTCAGGCTGGGAACTTCATCTCCTGGACATGAACATGGATGCCTCAGACCCCAGATTATTTATGCACTTCTCAGTCACCTACTGGGCACCCTCCCCCAAGGATTGACCAAGACCACATAGATATTCAAGCTGTGGATCTGCTTCTTCAAGCCCATTACATTCAAGAATTGACCAGAAGGCGGGGGAAGCAGTTTAGCTGGCAGCCAGTAAAGCCTAGAACAGCCTAAAGAAATCACACAAAGCTTCACTGACTACAGAGGAGCCCAAAAAAAACTACATTTACCTAACCTTTCTAGCAACCTATCTAGGAGGGTGCAACACATACAAGCTACAAGAGATGTTCATAGACTGAGGACATCCTACAAGAGATGGCCATAGACTGAGGAGATCCTACAGGAGATGGTTGGAGAATGAGGGCATCCTACAGGAGATAGTCAGAAACTGTCGACATCCTACATGAGATGGTCAGAGCCTGAGGACATCTTACAGGAGATGGTCAGAGACTGAGGACATCCTATAAGAGGTGGTCACAGACTGCAAACAAGCTACCAGAGATGTCTTACACTTAGGGCATCCTACAGGAGATTTTCAGAGACTGTAGACAAGCTACAAGAGATGTTCCTAGACTGAGGACATCCTACAAGAGATGATCATAGACTGAGGAGATCCTACAGGAGATGGTTGGAGAATGAGGACATCCTACAGGAGATGGTCAGAGACTGAGGACATCCTATAGGAGGTGGTCACAGACTGCAAACAAGCTACCAGAGATGTCATAGACTTAGGGCATCCTACAGGAGATTTTCAGAGACTGTAGATAAGCTACAGGAGATGGTTATAGACTGAGGACATCTTACAGGGAATGTCAGAGACTTTAGACAATCTACAGGAGATGGCTGAACACTTTTAACATGCAACCCAACATATATTTTTTGGACTTTGTTCCTCTTGACTAAATAACTGGGGTTAACTAAAATTGATTGTCATTTGGTTTCCCTGAAGTTCTGGTGAAATTCAGGAGATTTCAGCAATATGCATTGGATTGAATAGGGAAGGCAAAATTAGGTATTTTGTGGTGGTTTTTAGGGTGCAATCAGTTACACGAAATGAAAGTTCCCTTAAAAAAAAAATAAATGAATAAAAACTCTAAATAAACATAAAAAAAAATTACTACTTTTTTTTTTTCAGGGAAATTTCACCCGGGCAGGTCAGTGGGAAATTGTGCAGTGAAATCAATTTTGGCAGAACCTCTCTACTTATCCTTGGGCAAACAGGACAGGGAGTAATAGGGAAAGTCCACCACGGGGATGCAAACAACAATAAGATCTAAAATAATTTTACCCCTTCTTTACTCTAACCGAAATGAAAATGTTTTGGATGAAGTTCCACTTTAAGACAACATATAGAGCAATACCAAATTGTGAAAACCACACAAGCTCAAAGCCACCATTAAGATTTTAGAGCCCCCTTCAGACCAGGGCCGTCTTAATGCATAGGCACACCCTGGGTACTGCCCAGGGGCCCCAGGCGCATGGGGACCCCATGATCTAGGCCAGGACAAGGAGGGCCCGTGCGCAGTGTTGTGGAGGGGGGACACAACTCTGATGTAAGGGGCACTGTTATGGGGGAACCTGATGCATGGGAACACTGATGAAGATACCTGATGTATGGGAACACTGTGATGAGGACACCTGATAAATGGGAACATTGTGATGGGGACACATGATGGATGGGGATGCTGTGATGGGGCACCTGATGTATGAGGACGCTGTGATGGGGACACCTGAGGTATGAGGATGCTGTGATGGGGACACCTGATGTATGGGGATGCTGTAATAAGGACACCAGATGTATGAGGAATCTGTGATGGGGAGACCTGATGTATGGGGATGCTGTGATGGGGACACTTGATGTATGGGGACACTGTGATGAGGACACCTAATGAATGGGGATACTGTGATGGGGACACCTGATGGATGGGGATACTGTGATGAGGACACCTGATGAATGTGGACACTGTGATGGGGACACTTGATGAATGAGGATGCTGTGATGTCGGACACCTGATGGATGTGGATGCTGTGATGCGGAGACACCTGATGTATGGGAACACTGTGATGAGGACATCTGATGAATGGAGACACTGTGATGGGGACATCTAATGGATGGGGATGCTGTGATGGGGACACATGATGTATGAGGACGCTGTGATGGGGACACCTGATGTATGGGGCTGCCATAATGGGGACACCTGATGTATGGGTACACTGTGATGGTGAGACCTGATCTATGGGGACGCTGTGATGAGGACATCTGATGAATGGGAACAGCTATTGGATGGGGATGCTTTGATGGAGACACCTGATGTATGAGGATGCTGTGATGGGGGACACCTGATGTATGGGGGTGCCATAATGGGGACACCTGATGTATGGGTACACTGTGATGGGGCGACCTGATCTAAGGGGACGCTGTGATGAGGACATCTGATGAATAGGAACATCTAATGGATGGAGACGCTGTGATGGGGACACCTGATGTATGAGGATGCTGTGATAGGGACACCTGATGTATGGGGGGGGGGGCCATAATGGGGACACCTGATGTATGGGTACACTGTGATGGGGAGACCTGATCTATGGGGACGCTGTGATGAGGACATCTGATGAATGGGAACATCTAATGGATGGGGACGCTGTGATGGGGACACCTGATGTATGAGGACGCTGTGATAGGGAAACCTGATGTATGGGGGTGCCATAATGGGGACACCTGATGTATGGGTACACTGTGATGGGGAGACCTGATCTATGGGGACGCTGTGATGAGGACATCTGATGAATGGGAACATCTAATGGATGGGGATGCTGTGATGGGGACACCTGATGTATGAGGACGCTGTGATGGGGGCACCCGATGTATGGGGACATTGTGATGGGGAGATCTGATGTATGTGGACACTGTGACGGGGAGATCTGATGTATGGGGACGCTGTAATGGGGACACCTGTTCTTTGGGGACACTGTGACGGGGAGATCTGATGTATGGAGATGCTGTGATGGGGGCAATTGATGTAAGGGGGCACTGTAATGGGGACACCTGATGCAGGTTGGTAGAGGCCCCAGTGCATTACTTTGCCCAGGGGTCCATGATGCTTTTGAGATGGTACTGCTTCAGACCTATAAACTGCATACAGTGCACCACAGTGCCATATATTTAGAACTGTTCAAAGAAGAAAGCTATTGCACTTTGCTCCTCTTTACTGGATAAGTCAGTTTATGTGTCTGTTCTCTATCTTCATTCATTTCATGCCCTCTTTCCCAGTTCTTACGTGAGCCAGTGGTTGCTTGTCTTGCAGTAGCAGAAACTTCTGGCCCTGATCTGTTGCAGAATATTGTAGGACAAGGGAGAAATGATCACGATGGCGATGTTATATGCTGTGTATGGCCTCTAGGGGTCTCACTACTTAGATACTGGTACAACTGTGTTATTGCCTCTCTTTGGTTGTAGTTCTAGGGCAGACACATGTATAATGGCAGCTAGGAGCACCTAATAAAATGTCTCCTACTAACTACAGTGTGTGAGCATCTGAGCAGGATCTACTAACAGAACATGGTGGCAGCTGGGCACTGAACCTCTGAATAGCAAGTCTTCTGTCTACAAATACAGATTGTGTGACACTGGAACTGTACAGAGAATCAGCAACTGTAAGTACAGAGTCCCTATCAGACTGCACTATGGAGAGTGGCCTGAAACCCCCTCAGAGACTGGATGTCACTTCTTCCAATCTCTCACAGACATGGAGACACTGGAAGGAAGAGTTTACTCTGTATGTGGACCTGACAGTGGCACCCAGAGATGAGCAGAGGGAAGTAAAGCTGTTTTATTACTTGATTGGGGAAAAAGGCAGAGAACTAGCCGAGACCCTGCTCACAGACAGCATGGCACTGACAGACATACTGCAAGCATTTGATAAGCACTGTGACCCCAAAAAGAATGAGACGGTGGAGAGATACAAGTTCTTCTCAAGGAATCAGGAGATTGGGGACAGTGTGGACAGATATGTGACAGAGCTGAGGAGACTGGCTGCAACCTGTGGATTTGGGGACATCAGGGACTCCCTTATCGAGACAGGATAGTGTGTGGCATCAGAGACTCTCACCTCAGAGAAAGATTACTGAGGGAGGAAGAGCTGGCGCTGGAGAAATGTATACAAATCTGCAGGGCTGCAGAGCTGACTAAAGACAGGCTGAAGATGATGGAGGGCACCAGTGATGCCTCAGTACATGCAGTATCTGTGAAAGGCAGAGCAAGGTCCAGGCTCCCTGTGAGCTCAGTCCAGTGTAAATACTGTGGCAAAAGACATGAAAGAGACAAAGAGAAATGTCCAGCGTATGGGGAGTCCTGCAGGACTTGTGGCAAGATGAACCACTTTTCAGCTGTGTGCAGATTCAAAACCAGCAAACAGTACAGACAAGTCCACACAGTGACCCAGGACACAGACGAGGACAGCACAGAGGGCATCACATGGCTGCAGCTGCAGTCTGCAACAGAGAACGTCAATGTAGTCAAACAGCCAGTAGCCAATGATGCAAAGCAGCTCTTTGCCATATTTATGGTGGATGAACAGCCCATAAGATTTCAGCTGGATTGTGGAGCAAGTTGCAATGTCATTCCATTTACTCTGCTTAACAAACAGGTTCCCATTGAGCCCACTGATAAGGTACTGGTCATGTACAACAAAAGTGTTCTGAAACCCATGGGAACATGCAAGCTAAAATTAAGAAATCCACGTAACAGAAAGAGCTACAGAGTGGAGTTTACTGTGTTGCAGGAGGACGATCACATTCCTTTGCTGGGAGTTAAAGCAGTTCAGGCTATGGACTTAATAAAGGTGCAGTCCCATAACATCATGGCTCTGGAAGTTTCTGACAATACTCAAAATCCTACACAAAAGGCAGAATACATTTTGGATTTTCACCACATAAAAACAGAGTATGCTGATTTATTTGAAGGTGATGGGTGCCTGGAAGGTAAATACAAACTAGAAATTGATCACACAATACAGCCTACCAGACTGCCTACAAGAAGAGTACCTGTAGCCTTAATGCAACCGCTTAAAGAGGAACTGCAGGATTTGCACAGCAGAGGTATGATAGCACCAGTACAGGAAAGCACAGACTGGATAAGCAGTTTGGTGATAGTGAAAAAACCATCAGGCAAGTTAAGAATATGCATTGATCCTAAGCCACTGAACAAGGCCCTTAAAAGAAATCACTATCCAATGCCAACAATAGAAGATATTCTACCAGATCTATCAAAGGCTAAAATATTTTCGGTATGTGATGTGAAAAATGGGTTCTGGCACGTGGAACTGGATAAAGAATCAAGTTTATTAACAGCATTTTCTTCCCCATTTGGACGCTATAAGTGGCTTAGAATGCCAATGGGAGTAAGCCCAGCTCCAGAAGTGTTCCAACAAAAATTGATGCAAGCTTTGGAAGGACTGTCTGGAGTAAAAAAATAATAGCAGACGATATACTAATAGTTGGGGAAGGTGATGATCTAGAATCCGCAACAAAGGATCACGATAAAAAGATGATACAATTCTTAGACAGATGTAGAAAAAAACAAATCAAACTGAACCTGGAAAAATTCAAACTAAAAATGACAGAAGTACCATATATTGGACATCTTCTTACCTCAAATGGTGTTAAAGTCGATCCAGAGAAGGTGAGGGGCGATACAGGACATGCCGACACCTACAGATATACGTGGAGTACAACGATTCCTGGGCATGGTGAATTATCTTTCCAAATTTTGCAAGCATTTATCAGACATGTGTGAGCCACTGAGACAGCTAACTCACAAAGACGTACTCTGGGAATGGACAGAAAGCCATGAAACTGCTTTTCAGTCAGTGAAAAATGCTATTGCAGACGCAGCAACGCTAAAATATTTTGATCCAGATCAAGCAGTGGTAGTACAATGTGATGCCTCAGAAACCGGCCTTGGAGCCACACTAATGCAGGATAAACAGCCAATCACATATGCAAGCAGAGCGTTAACTCTAACAGAGCAAGGATATGCTCAAATCGAGAAGGAACTACTAGCGGTAGTATTTGGGTTAGAGAAATTTCACCAGTACACCTACGGTCGACAAGTGGTGGTGCATTCAGATCACAAGCCTTTAGAAAGTATTACAAAGAAGCCACTACTGAATGCCCCAAAAAGACTGCGTATGCTGTTAAGGCTTCAGAAATATGATTTTAACATTTGTTACTGTCCAGGGAAGGATTTACTGATTGCAGATGCCCTAAGCAGAGCTTACTTACCCATCACAAATGAAGAAGAAAAAGACATTGAAAGCATCAATATGTGTGAATATCTGTCTGTCTCAAAAGACAGACTGAAACAAATACAGACCTGCACAGCGGAAGATAAAACTCTACAGATCCTATCGACTGTCATCTTGAAGGGATGGCCAAAACACAAGCAGCATGCTCCAATGGAGGTTTCTCCATTTTTTCACATAAGAGATGAACTCTCTGTGCAGCATGGAATCATCTTTAAAGGAGAAAGGGCTGTCATACCAACATCCTTAGAAGAGACATTATAGAAAGATTGCACTCGACTCACTTAGGTGTAGAAGGATGTCTACGTCGTGCACGAGAATATGTTTATTGGCCTGGAATGAATGACCACATAAAAAACTTTATAGCACAGTGTGAAATATGTGCATCGTGCAATGATAAGCAACCGAAAGAGACATTGCAACCACATACAATTCCAAACAGACCATGGTCAAAAGTAGGAACAGATCTGTTCACGTGGAACGACAAGGAATATCTGGTAACTGTGGACTATTTTTCCAACTTCTGGGAGATAGACTACTTACAGGACACAAGGGCCAAAACAGTAATTAAAAAACTCAAGGCCCATTTTGCCAGATATGGCATTCCGGATATTGTGTTCTCTGACAACGCCGCTCAATTTACATCGGAAGAATTCAAAAAATTCAGGGAGAGGTGGGAATTTGAGCACCAGACATCATCTCCTGGATATCCGCAGAGTAATGGTAAAGCCGAGTCAGCAGTAAAAACAGCCAAAAGACTCATGCAAAAGGCAAAACAGGCAGGTACAGAGATATACCTGTCTATACTGGACCACAGAAACACACCCACACAAGGCCTAGACACCAGTCCAGCACAGCGGCTTATGAGTAGACGTACAAGGACTCTCCTACCAACTGCAGGTCAACTACTAAAGCCAAAGCTTGTGGGCAATGTTAAAGCCAAACTAACGAAGAATCAAGATAGGCAAGCTTTCTATTATAATAAATCTGCAAAAGATCTGCCTGTTCTCCAGAGCAATGACAATGTACGGATTCAGCCAATAGGGAAATATGACAAACACTGGAAAAAAGCGAAGGTTGTACAGAAATTGGGACCACGGTCCTATGAAATTATAACAGAGGAAGGAAGAAGATGGAGGAGAAATCGGAGACATCTGAGAAAAACACAAGAAGGAGATGATACAGGGCCCTGGGAACAGTATATGGACACTCAAAGCGATGAGACTATGAATACCAGCAACAAAGAAACAGGAACTGCTGAGGAGCATAGGGAGGTCTCTAGGCAGAGAGAGACAGTCCCAGAAAATAGACTGCCAGAATCAGAAGAAACCTCATATGTTACGCGAGCTGGCAGAACAATCAGAAAGCCGGCTCACCTCAAGGATTATATCTAATTTATAGCTATGTTCTACTTCACCATTTTGTGTTTGTTATATTTCATTGTTCTTTTATTTAAAAGAGAAAGGATGTAGCAATATGTTATATGCTGTGTATGGCCTCTAGGGGTCTCACTACTTAGATACTGGTACAACTGTGTTATTGCCTCTCTTTGGTTGTAGTTCTAGGGCAGACACATGTATAATGGCAGCTAGAAGCAACCTAATAAAATGTCTCCTGTTAACTACAGTGTGTGAGCATCTGAGTGATTTAATGGTGGGTGCACAGGGAACGCACAAACGAGCACCTAGGAAGAGCTGACAGGATGGGTTCTGGGGTATCCCTCCATATACAATGTGATGGTCAGAGATATGACCCAACCATCACATCTACCTATATAGCCAACCAGCCAACCCTCAAAATGATTGAGTTCAGGTGTTTTGACGAAGAGTACTTTTACTGCTACAGCATACGAAGACATTTTAGACAACTGTGCACCTTCAACCTTGTGGTAACAGTTTCATAAAGGCCATTTACTGTTCCAGCATGACTGTGCCCCTGTGTACAAAGCTAGCTCCAGGAAGACCTTGGCTCCATGGTTTGGCATGGAAGAGCTAGCATGGCCTGCACAGAATACCAACCTCAACCCTACTGATCACCTTTGATCAACTGGAAAACCAATTGCAAACCAGTTCTTTTAGTCTGACATCAGTACCTGACCTCAGTTGTTTTGGCCAAATGGGCACAAATTCCCACAGACACCCTCCAAAATCTTGTGGAGGCAGAACAGTGGAGTCTGATATGGCCATAAAGACGTTAATATACAGCAAACTCCATATTATGTTCATGGTTTTGGAATGGAATATTCAACGAACTAACATAGATGTGATGGTCAGGTGTCCACAAAATGTTGGCCAATCAGTGCACTTTGTCAGTTCAGTAGTGCAGGGCAATTGTACACATGACTGCTGCCTCAGACCCCAGATTATTTAGGATTGACCAAGACCACATAGATATTCAAGCTGTGGATCTGCTTCTTCAAGCCCAATACATTCAAGAATTGACCAGCCAGTGAAGCCTAGAACAGCCTAAAGAAATCACACAAAGCTTCACTGACTACAGAGGAGCCCAAAAAAAACTACATTTACCTGACCTTTCTAGCAACCTATCTAGGAGGGTGCAACACATACAAGCTACAAGATATGTTCATAGACTGAGGACATCCTACAAGAGATGGCCATAGACTGAGGAGATCCTACAGGAGATGGTTGGAGAATGAGGACATCCTACAGGAGATAGTCAGAGACTGTAGACATCCTACATGAGATGGTCAGAGCCTGAGGACATCTTACAGGAGAGGATCAGAGACTGAGGACATCCTATAGGAGGTAGTCACAGACTGCAAACAAGCTACCAGAGATGTCATAGACTTAGGGAAATTTTCTATTGAGTTCTCCTACCCATGTGGGCATGATAATTATGGTCTGCTTTCATAGTAGATATTACTTTCCCACCATGCACACCATGCATGATCGAGACGTTTAAGGTACTTTTCAGGTACCTTAAACTTGATACAATTTTATTTGATCCTGGCAAAACAGCTATGAGATCGATATTGGAAGAACCATTCTGACTGGAGTTGGGCTTTAAGAAGTTTTTTCAAAGAGTTCTTTGAGAGCTTTTTATGACCCCACAGACAGTCCCGTGTTGCCTGCTGCTTCCAAAATTAAAATTAAAGTCTGTCTCCTTCCAGCTGATGTGGCTTTTTCTTCTTCTTTACTATTTCCTTCTTTTACATTTGCTGCTACAGCTAGCTTCAGACCTATGGTCTATAACTTGTACCTTGGCATGAGATATATGGAACATCTCCTTATTGACAATTTGTTTACTGGAATCTTTTACAATACATTATTGTATTCACATATGGCGTTCCATTCTCTATGGTTATAATTTTTGCAACCAGTGATATTTTGCCCATTTCTACCTGACCTTTCATGTAATATTTTGTACTCTGAAAAAACCTCAATAAAGATTTATTGAAAGTGAAAAGTGAAGTGGGTCAGTCAGGGGAGGACCAGGGGCGGACTGACAACTCATGGGGCCCCCGGGCAATAGGGGATCATGGGGCCCCTGTGTCCTTGCCCAAACTCAAAAAAGCCTATGAAAAAGGTACCAGGGACATCTCATGGGGCCCCCTACTGACCCCGGGCCCTCGGGCAGTGCCCGAGTTTCCAAATGGTCAGTCCGCCCCTGGGGAGGATTGACAACTCATGGGTCCCCCGTGCAATAATGGGATCATGGGGCCCACATGTCCTTGCCCACACTCAAACCACACCCAGAAAAGCCTATAAAAGGTGTCAGGGGCCTCTCATGGGGCCCTCTACTGATCCTGGGCCCTCCCAGGATTCCCAAATGGTCAGTCCGCCCCTGGGGTCAGTGGTCATCTTCTAAGTATGGACACCTCAAAACTAATCACTATTTTTTAGCTATACGTTTGAAAGAAATAGGTTTAATGTGACTGTTAGCATACTGCAAGTTGGTAGGATGGAATTATCTTGCCTTGACTGTTGTTCTCCCATCAAAAGTAAAGGATTTAATTTGTCCATTCTCCAAAAATACTTTGAGAACGTTCGGAATGAGGAGAAGGGGTGGAGAGTCTTTCATCTTCAACATGTCCTAGGTAAAACAAAAAGAAGAGTCTTCAAATGGTAAACTTAGAAAAAGAAAAATGCCTACATGTATAACCAAAGAATATTGAATCTCCAGTTTTTTACAAAGTATTTCTCTTGGACCAAGTCTTTTTGTAGTGTTTTGTTAACTGTAATGTATGATATAAGTTAGTATCGCAATCTCCAATCTAGTCACACAATTGTACGAGTCAGGAAAATGATTCATCTGCCCTAATGTTTTGCTCTGTAGGGCCTTACAGTAAGAGAGTGTGAGAGTTGGAAAGTAAGCAGCTTCTGCAGTGCTTCCCACATGGAGGAAAAATATATTTGGGTCAAGGTCAAAAGATCAGGGTCAAAGGTCAGGATTTAAAAAAAAAAATTGGTGTCAGTGTGTTTTAGGTAAAAAAAAAAAAACCCAAAAAACAAAATGCGCACTATTGTTTCTGGGCTGTACTCCGGGTACAAACAACAAATAGCATAAACATATATGGTATCGCTGCGATCGTCAAGAGCTGGAAAATGTATTTTGGGTTGTTCAGACGAAGTCCGGAAGTGACGAAACGCGTTAGGGGAGTGACGTCAAGACGCACGCACGCCAACCGGAAGTGTCGCCGCGGCCATTTTGTTGGTTGTATACATGTGGTTTCAACCAAAAGTTTGATCAGTCAGTACAGAACCATTGAGGGAGCAATGCTGCGAGCTGGATTTTCCTTTCTTTTAATGTGAGTTTTGAATAAATTTGTTTCTATGATGTGAATTCTGCCTAAGAGCCTTTGTTTCTTTATGAGGATTTTGGAGGAGTACCCCTGAAATGAAGGATTGAAAGATATGGATTCCTTAGGATAGCCTATGCTTGAGAATAACTTCAAGAGGGTAATAGTACCTGGTATTACTTTTGGCTGGATTATAGAGGGTACTAGTACCTAGTATCACTATTCACAAGTGGTTCTAGTGGTCATGAGTTTTTGACGTTTTGAGTTTTATTTATTTATTTATTGATTTATGCAGTGAAAGAATAAGTTTATATTTATATAATACTTGCACAAGTTTTTTTTTTTTTTTTTTTCTTCACTATTTTAAGAGTGGTTTTGTGTTTTTGCACAGAGTGAAGTACATATATTTAAAAAGATAATACACTATGAATTTTTCTTTTCCTTTTTTTTGAGGTTTTCATGGAATATTTAGGATCAATTTCCTTTTAACTGGATTGAAGTGAAAATTTGGGACTTGGATATTGGACACATTTGGATTCTGTTTTATTTCATTTTAATTTTATTTTATTTTATTTTATGTGATTTTGGGACACAATTGGGAGTGAATTTAAACTGGACACACATTTTAAGTTGAATAATATTTATTTTGATTGTATAAATTGATTATATTTGTAGAATTTAATTTTGGGCTTTATGTGGGATTTATATGGTTTACCACAAAAAGGATATGTTGGATTGTATACTTTCTAGGAAGAAAGTGTGACTTTTTGGTAGGAGTGGAAGGGAAGGAGTTTATTGATTGATTGATTGATTGATTGATTGATTTTGGGTTGTTATTTGGTGGGAGGTTATGGTAGTAACAAGAAACACCCAGCTAAATTTTAAAAAAACATTTTTTTTTTACTATTTTGGGCCATTTTTTCCTTTGATAATAAAAAAATCAGGATATATCCATTACCATTTACCACCAAATGAAAGCCCAATTTGTCCTGAAAAAAAAACGCGGTATAATCCACCTGGATGTACAAAGTAGTTTTGATGATCTGTACAGTTTTACTAACACATGTCAACGTTGCAAAATTGTGCTTAGGCATTAACATTTGTTTTTAACCCTTAGACGTGAAGGAGTTAATGCTCTCATTTACTTACTGCGTCTGTATCTCCAACAGTGACCAATTCGGAAAATCGGACCCTAGTTGGGTTGGAGCGAAGCTTCTCTTTCTTAGCTGCACTGATGAATGCGGATTTTGGAGACTACAAGAACACAACAAATCAAATGTTAGAATTTATTGCAAATAGACACAAAAAAAACACAATTTTCTAAACTGCAAAACCATAAATTATATAACCTAAAAGGATTCTTACAATCAAAAGCTTTCCACTGTCAATTTGACGGCAATTACTCTGCCCTCTCTTCGTCAGGAGCCAATGTCAGCACTCCTGTTGCCGCATAGGATTGGCTATCACACCTACAGGTGAACCCATCTGATTACATCAGGAGACCACCAGTGTAATCTGCATTGCTTGGGCCATGAGTATAGTCAGCAAGGTCCTTCAGAAGTTTAAGAGGTGCCAACCTACACAGAGCCAGGAATGGATTTCACCATAGCTACCCGTCAGGAGCCAATGTCAGCATCCTGTTGCCGCATAGGATTGGCTATCACTAGAGATGAGCGAATCGAACATGACGAAGTGGAATTAGTTCCGAAGATTTGGAAAAATTCGATTCGCGACGAATCCGAAGATTAGCAAACTTTGGATGCACGAATCGAATTTTCCCAAAAATGGCGGCGACCTCATGTGTGGCGACGGAGAAAAATGGACAGAGAAGATGGGGCGGGGATCTCTGGGAAGGCGCGCAAACAAGGCGCGCTGACCCATAATGCATTCATGACATGTGATCGCATTAGCCAATCAGCAGCCAGCCAGCACTGTTGTAATGGTGGAGCTATAAAATCGCGGCCATCTTAGAATTCTCCAATTAGCCTACGGTCATTCAAGAGAGACTAGACCTGTCTGTAATTAAGGGACAGAGTTAGGGCCACAGAGACTTTATGGCCACAAATTCGTTACTCAGGGACACAGAATCGTTACTACATGGACCACAGAATCGTTACTTAGGGGCCACAGTCCTATCAAATGAATCGAAAATTTAAAGTGACATACACCCTTTTTTTTTTTGGTGGCTGTCGTGCACAGTTGGTGCTTGCAGTTTTGCCGATTGTGCAAAATAAACTGACTTTCTGCTTCACAACCACTATTGTACGTTCAAAGTGTTAAATCCATTTACACGCCGGCTGGCGGTAATATTTTTTGGGTGATTTAGTGCAGTTTCCATGACACAAACGTACAGTTACAGCCAACGGCAAGCTGCAATTGACCGATTGTTGTACTATAAACTGACTTTCTGCTTCACAACCACTATTTTACGTTTCAAAAGAGTTAGATCCATTTACACGCCGGGGGATGGCGGTAATATTTTTTTTGGGTGATTAGTGCATTCCAGTGACATAAACGTACAGTTCTCCAGCCAACGGCAAGCTGCAATTGACCGAATTGTGCTAAATAAACTGACTTTCTGCTTCACAACCACTATTGTACGTTCAAAGAGTTAAATCCATTTACACACGCCGGGCTGGCGTAATATTTGTTTGGCCCCCTGTAAACCGGCTCCTCATGAACTTGGTTCAGCGGTTTGCATCACTTAACGGCGAGCAAATCGTTGACAAAACGCTGGGACGTTCAGTGTTGTGCGCATTAAGCCAGACACCAAAGGGCAGCACTGTCCTGTTATTACTCGCTCAAGCATGGCTGAACAAAACCAGTCTCTACCACAAATTGGACCCAGACCTGCCCAGGGTCTCGTAAGTAGATTGCACGGAGGAGTAGAGTTCGTTATTGAATTAACTGTGAGGGACTTTTTAACCTAGGCCTGTGTATTGGCCTTCAATTGAAGCTGCTTCTGCTAACCGCCACTCTGCCATTGGACTCTTGATAGTCGTCTCCCCACGATGCTGCTGGGCCTGAGGACTTTTTAACATAGGCCTCTGTAATGGCCTTCAATTTTAGCTGCTTACGCTCCGCCACTCTGCCATGGGCCCTGTACCGCCTCCTCATGCTGCTAGCCAGGCCCGTTAATCTGCCATGGCCCCCCCCGTACCGACTCCTCATGCTGCTGCCAGGCCCGTAATCTGTCATGGGCCCTGTAAACCGATTACCGCCTCCTCATGCTGCTGCCAGTCCAGAGTGTGTCATGGGTCCCTGTACTGCCTCCCATTGCTGCTGTCTCTCCATCGCCACAGCTCTCTGCCATGTGCCACTTTCCAGGTCTCCTCACCACATTGCTGGTGGGTTCCATTTTGTCATAGAGGGTGCTGTATGGCCTCGCCATTGCTGCTCGCCATGCCACCGCCACACTGTGGCTGCACACTCTGGTTTTGGCCCTCGTGACTGCCCATCATGAGTGAAGTGTGCGGTGATTCTAAGATCGAGACGGCACTCATCTGCCATGTCATAACTGACTGACAGTATTATTTCTCTTCCCCAGCAGACTCCAAGGGCATTTAAAATAAAGTGTACAGTGTTCTGCACTAATATAAAGGCTCTCTGAAGCCTAGAAATCACCCTTTTTATAAGTTAAATTCGCAGCGAATATTATTCGGGCTCGAAGCGAATTTTTTCGGGCGAATTCGGCGAATCAGCCGAACCGAAGTTTTTGAATAATTCGCACTCATCTCTAGCTATCCACACCTACAGGTAAACCCCTCTGATTACATCAGGAGACCACCAATGTAATCTGCATTGCTGGGCCATGAGTATAGCAGCAAGGTCCATCAGAAGGTAAGAGGCGGGCCAACCTACACAGAGCCAGGATACTGGAATTTCACCATAGCTACCCGTCTTGGAGCCATGTCAGCACTCCTGTTGCCGCATAGGATTTTGTCTATCACACCTACAGGGTAACCCCTCTGATTTACATCAGGAGAACCACCAATGTAATCTGCATTGCTTGGGCCCAGGAATTTGGCAGCAAGGTCCATTCAGAAATGTAAGAGGCGGCCAACCTACACAGAGCCAGGAATGGGATCTCACCATAGCTACCCGTCAGGAGCCAATGTCAGCACTCCTGTTGCCACATAGGATTGGCGATCACACCTGCAGGTGAAACCCCTCATGGTTACATCAATGAGACCAACCAGTGTAATCTGCATTGCTGGCCAGGAATTTGGCAGCAAGGTCCTTCAGAAGGTAAGAGGCGGTCAACCTACACAGAGCCAGGAATGGATCTCACCATAGCTACCCCCCCTCCGTCCTTTCTGCCCCCATCCTGATCACGTGTCTAATTTCCTAAGGCAACCCATGGCAGCTTAGACACCCAATGATGTTAAAAAATGGGGCACAGGATGAATCAATTGCCTCGCATAACCTCCAAGTCACAGCGTACACATGACATCTTCCTATTGGCTTCCAATGGCCAAAAGCAATAGTAAAACGAAGGGAAGTGATTATTAGTGATGAGTCGGACATTCCCAGGTTTTGTTCGAGAAGTTTTGGTGGACCCATACTACAGCCCAAATCAAGTAACCAGAGTATATAAAGTCAATACGAGCCAAAATAAGTCTTAAAAAAAAGTAATGCCACTTTTCTAGGTTACATAGGCAGAAAGGTATTAAACATATGGGATGGATGGGCGGTATGGACACTAGCCAGGGGGAATGTACCATATGCATTTAAAAACAAAAATATCTATCAATACTCAGACTTTGCCAGAGGAGCAAAAGTAGAGCTAAATTATTAAAGTGAAACCTTAACATATGCCCCTGAACATTTATTTAAATAACAATACCTGGGTGACTCCTAAACATCACCTGATGAAGTGGTGCAACTCTACTATGATTTAACTACACCCACTTCCCCCCAATTGACCAAGGCAAAATGACACCCCCCCGCGGCCACTTTGTTCTACGTTTTGTAGACAGTGCTTCACACGGATTCCCATTCACTAACCCAGCCCCCTTATTATCCCCGAGTGGCTATTAATATTTTGAACATGTTAATGTGGACACCCACACACATAAATGGGCATGCGTTTTCCTCCCACTAATATTTTTTCCTACCAGGCCCCAGATCAATGAAGCCTATTCAATCAGGGGGAACACCTAACATCAAAGTCAGGGGAAAAAACAAAGAATCAGAAGACCCTCAAAAAAAGCCCCATCAGCGAGAACCCTATACCGAGCATGAAACCCAGGCCAGGCCAGGGAAAGAAGGGATGAGTCATGTACCCTCCACCATCCCTGCATACATATCAAGGCGCGATGTTAGCGCCAAACATGTATGTGAAGCCAGGGTGAATGACAAAAACAAACACACACAACCAACCACCACATTTGAAAACGCGGCACTGCGCCCCACGAGGCCACAGCGTCAGTAGGGCCCCCATGAGAATGCCCCTGGTACTTTATTTCATAGCTTTTTTTCTGAGTTGGGCAAGGTCACCGGAGGCCACATGATTCCCTTAGTGCCCGGGGGATAACCCAATGAGCTATGTCAGTCCGCCCCTGAGTATGGAACCCAAGTTAGAAAGAGTACAAGCGGCCACTAGTTCCCACAACACTGCTTGTTGGTTTGGTAGGGGGGGCCTGCAGACAGAGGGGTTTTTATCAGACTGCTATAAGCCCCACCCTTTAAACAATAAGAGTTATACCCAGATGAGCCCGCTGAACCCCGCCCCTCATAGCGTGTTTAATGAATTAGGCGTAAACTAGTAACCCCTATTAATTTCACAACAAGTAAAGTAATATAATCAAACACAGAGACACCATTTTTGACATTCCTTAAATTAAAAAAAAGTCCCATGATTACAATACATCATCAAATACGTCCCTCATGATGCATATCCATGACATGACCATATATTTCCAATGACATCACTCGGGAGGATCTCGCCCTCTTTTTTAAATCAACTGCAATCTGGGCCAGAACTACTATCCGTCTGTAGGATTGCAGCAAAAGGCCAGATATGTATCACCATTTTTTTTTTTTGGTGGGTGAGTGTTTTTTTTTGTGGGAGCCCCCATAAAAACCTATACCCAAAGATGAACACTGAAGGCCAGGGCTATGGATCAGGGGTAACATATGTCCTTCTCTAGGTGCCCAGGCTGCTGGGAGAATTGGATGTGGGCAACAGGGGGATCAGCACGGTGTGAAGGGGGAGCTAATTACTGAACAGATCACCCCTTTATGGAATCTCT